CAAGATGCTTTTGTGCTGCCTATGTAAAAAAGGCAGCTAAAAGTCCACCAGGCAAGTTTAATCCTGAACACCTGCAGCTTCCAAAATGCTATCAGTATTCTTTGAGCATTTGTACTGCCATGAAGGTTGCAAACATTTCCATCTGGATCATGCTTTCAGATTTACAGTGATTGACAAATCAATAGCAAAGAGAACTCACTGGCTCTGTAAAAGCTTAGAGACGTCAGCTGAGAGGAAACAAAAATTTTTGCCAGTGTCTCCGTGGGTGTTTGCCAAGAGCAGGAGAAGGGTGAGACTCAGGAAGCCCAGCATCCAGTACAGAATATGGCGGACAGCATTCTCCCTCCTTTGACCAAATGTGATGTGTTTTTTCCTTTTAATAGTGATATCTGCATAGAGCAGAGAACGACTGGCAGCAAGAATAATAAGAAGAATCCAAAACAACTCCAGAATCACAGGCAAAACCTATGAGCCGCTTGCTCCAACTGGTAAAATCTAGTCCAGATCCCAAATCTGGGAGATTCAAGGGTCAGCCTTGACTCGTGCCCAGAACTCTGCTGACCTGATGAGGCCGTGCAGACCCCTGCAAGCACACCAGTTACGGGACAGGACAAAAATCCCACCAAAGTCAACCCGTTCCAGCTGGAGGGAGGAAAAATCAGACTTCTGCACTTTCATTGTTCGGCAAACTCCATCCATCAGGATGAATCTTGAAAAGTCAGGGGTCATAAAGGGGCTTACTCACACCCTAGAAAACTAAAGCCTGGGCCAAGGCTGTCATAAGGAGGAGAGGAAAAAGACCTTCAGCTAATTGACAGAAAATACCCAAAAACTAGCTTGCAGGGGCACAGGCTTTTGTCAGAGTGACTGACATCTCGCCTGCTTGGAAGGAAATTAATTAAAGGAGAATGAGGAGCATATGTTGTCAAGTGGGTGTAAATCAAACTAAGCAAACAAAGGAGCAGGGGGAGAACTCGGGCTGGCATCAAGGCTGCAAGAAAAGAGAACAGGCTGGAGGAAGCAAAGGCTGCAGATGTCTTTAGACACATTTCCTTCGCATCAGCTTAGATTTCAACAAGTTGATGAAAAGCTGGGTGAAAGGCAGCAGCAGCCAATACATCTAAGCCTGGAAGAAGTTTCCAGAGAGTGCTCCCAAGTTGGTTTCAGCGTTCAGTATTATTTCTCTGGGTCCTGATTCTGTGGTGGTGCTTGTGCAGACGTGGTGGTGCTTATCTCCTCCTGAGTGGACACTGCATCACACGCCGCAGGTCCTGTGAGTGTCTCTGCACTTCTGGAAGGGCTGTCTTGCCTTGGTGCACACGAGGCTCTGTTAAAAACCAGATTTCAGCTTATCCTTCAGCTATGCTGTAAAGCCAGAAGTGGTTTTCCTCATTGTTCTTTATAGCCTTCCCAGATCTTCCAGCCGCAAACACATCATTTGTTTAAGCCACACATAAACAAGCATTTTCATTCAATGGAAAGCACATGAAAGAACTACTTTCCTTCTGTGTGTTTCTTGCCTGCAAGGGCTGGAGTCTCTCTGTGCAAATTCCTGGTGCTAACCCCGAGCAGTTGTCAAAGCTTGCTCCATACTTGGCATTTTAAGAAATTCCTGAGTTTATTCCATTACAAAATCATTCAGTCACTATTTGGCACCCTTTTGTAGCAGATGACGAGTCAAGGAGCTTCAAGATCTCTAAAAAAGGCAAACCCTGTAACTGGACTTGATGTCAACCTGCCGTCAGAATACATCATGGACCTACTGCAGTCGTGATACAAACCCGTTATACATTTCCTTGGCAACAAGTGCATAGAGTGGCAATTCAGACTGCTAATGAAAAATGATAGAGGGTCACCATCTAAATCACCAAAAAAAAAAAAAAAAAAAAAGTGAGCCAAGATGGCTAAAAACTGAATCAATAAAAACAGTCATATGAAACCAGTTTAAAAAAATGATGGAAGATAAAGCCATAAATAAAACAACATCCTTCTGCCTGGTCCCAACCAAGAACACGCAGTACGCTTGTGCCTTTGGCACTGTGCCCTCTACCAGAAGTATCAGAATTTCTCCAAAATCCCCTCCTCCCAGCTAAGGGCTGGCAACAAACATAATATTGGTTGCATCTGTCAGCTCAGACAGGAATAATAATCTAATAGCCCTCAATATCTCACACCCATAGCAGCACCAGGACTTCTGGCTGCCTCATACGTACTTCTACACACTATGTATTTTTCCTACTTTTACTGAAATACAAAAACTAACTGGCAATCTCTGCTTATTATTGTTGAAAAAAAAAAAAAGCTGCTTCCACTGTGTTTACACCTGTGGTTTCTGCTCCTCTTGTTTTTCATGTTGCTATCAAGAAGTCACTGTTTGAGACCTCTTCTAGGCAGAGCTGCCTTAGTCTTTGGAGTGGATCCATGAGAAGCACAAGATGGATGAACATTTGCATCCTTCAAACACTGGAACAGACAGCCAAGGGCATTAATCAACACCTTATGTTTCAAGCATTGCACTAGAACACGGCCATGAATTCAACAGTCCTTGCCTCTATCTGTCTGCAGAGCAAGTGTTGGGTCTAGGAGACTAGTCCTGCTTGGAGGGACCTTGCAACAAGCACTACTTAGTGCTCTACAGCTGGCATCACCTGACAGTGAATTCAGACACCACATCTTGAGACCACCTGCTAGGACCTGACAAATCATCGTTCAGCCACCAGCCACCTTCTCCATCCTCTAGAATATCACACTTGTTAAGAAAAGGGGCAACATGACCTGGTGGAAGCTTGAAATCCTCGATGTACCTCATCAGTCAAGCATCACATCACAGTAAGATCATGGGGACTTTTCCTTGTAGACATTTTTCACCTGTGGGTGAAGAAATTCACATGCCCACGTGCTGCACTTTGTATGAAAAATACCGATTATGATACCATGATTGTTTGAGCAGGATGGGCTAATCTCATCTGGGGGCTTTTGCAGACTGCTGTGGAAGAATTACAGGTGGCATAGTCCATGTCCATATTCATGCTTCCTGTATTTTCCACAACCTGTTCTTCCAGCTGAGAACTGTAATTTTCTATTGTTTGTAACTTTTCATCCAAATTTCTGAATCAGAGTTTCAATCTGTATCACATATAATGCCATGTTCAACCTGTAATTTGGGTAGTGCTGTCTTACCCAAACACCCAAGCAGCACACACGTTCTCCATGCCCAGAGGTGTGAGGGGTTACAGCGGGGTGTCCCTCTGGCTGGCTGGGTGCATGCCGGAGGAGCCTTGCACTGACCATCACCACGCAGCTGCCACTGCCAGAGACCTGGCACAGCCTGGCATAGCAGGGCACAGATCACGTTTTGGGCTTCTGAACCTTGAAGCAACATTTCTTAGTGCCCACCTGCCAGAAATCCCTCCCAGAGCAGTGATGTGAGCCTGGATCACCTTTACACACAAAGCTGGACGTCCGAGCTCTCATCACCTCCAGCCTCCCGAGAGCTCCACGGTGCTCCAGCATCAGCTTTTCATCTATTTATTTAAAACCTGCCAAAATACAACTCCCCTGCAGGCCAAACAATGAAAGGGCTTCTCTGCCAGACGTGTGTTCTGCCAGCATGCAGCTGCAGTTGTATTGTGTGGAGCAGTGCGCGGTGTGACAGCGAGCGGGACTGTCCGAGGGCAGGGACTCAACACGTGAGGTCCGAAGGCTGGCTGAGATAACCCCGAGGGACTGCCTTCGTCAGAGAAGATGAAACGTGACATGGTGTGGGTCCTGGGGCAAACTTCCTTCTATTATATACCCAGCTTCCTCAAGCGTTGCCAGCTGATTTGCTCCAAACCGGAGTGCACTCGTGTGTATCCAGTGGAGAGATGACCCAGGTCCCACAAAGAGCAGTGGAACCAAACAAGCAATCACTTTTTCATGCAGATGCACAAAACCACCTATGAAACCAGCAAAAGCAGAGAACAGAGAAATTGGCATCCTTCCTACAGACAGACAGGGGCACAACTTACAAACTTAAGGGCAACACAGATCTGGTATCTTCCCTCAGATAACTGTTAATCACAATAATCATTATTGTACAGAATAGCTAAAATCTGTCTTTCTTGAGTTACAAAGGTGCAGGCAAATCTTGGCCTTGCTAATTAAAATAAGCTTGTGGGAGCCATAAGATACGAGACAGCTTTTGTCTAGCAGACAATGGGCATCACAACAGCACAGCACCTGTACAAGCATGATCACCACCATGCTCCACCACAGGCAGGGTGAGGAACAGGCTCTTTAACAGACAGCCTAAAATGTTAAAGAATTAAACTCTGTCTACTAACATCATTCTAATTGTACCAAGGAACAAAATTTGAGTGGCAAAATATGTTCATAATTGATGTCTTTCTCCATCAATCTCTCACTTTGTTTTTCATTATTTGCTTGTGACATTCAGCTATCAAACTCATAATCCCTCTGAATTAAGTGATAAGTGTCTATGATGGAGACAAGTCGGTGCATCTGACTTTCAGTTCCCAAACTGCATCAAAATGTAAGGAAAATGTTTGTTGATGAGTTAGGATGGACTGTGAACTCCATGACAATCTAGGGGGAGGGAGAGCACTGTTATAGCATGTAGAACAAACCAATCAATTGTTTTCTGAAAGTTGGTTGGGCTTTTTAATGAGCCACTGCTATCACAACGGGTTCCAAATATCAAAAGGTCGTGCAAAATGTGGCACAGTGCAGGATTACCACAATGCAGCCCTATACTTGCTCGAGGTCTTTCAGATTCTGTAAGTTTGCAGGTTTTCTGAAAATTATCCAATCTTCTGTTCTTCTGGGCCCTTTGAAGTACTTCCCTTTAAAGCTGTAATCTGATTTCTAGCTTTTGTGCCTTCAGAGAAGGAAAATATAGTCATAAGAAAAATATACAGTGAAAATGTGTGCAGTACTCCAGTGTTTGACAAAAGGTGTCCTCAGAGGTAGTTAGCTAGAAATTAGATAAGCCTGTACTCTGCATGCCTGAGAAATGAAGTTTGTTTATTTTTCCAAGGAAAAGCAATAGGTGAATTTCATAACATTTTGACACAACAAGCCATGGCCTCAGACTTTAAGACCTCAGTGGCTATTGCTCCTACTAGAATTAAACTGTAAATAGAATTAAACTGTAAAAAGTGAACAAACACCTCCTCTTGTTATAAAGACAATTATACAGATACATAACTTTTCGTTGTCAAAACAAAAATCCAGCCAGACTCTTGTAAACAGCATATGCATGTATATAGCATTGCCTAATCGCACCAAATGTGGCTGATGGGTTGCCAGCTTTACAAGTAATAAATCATTATGATCCAATGAAAACCATATAACAAAGTAGACATACATAAGACTGCATATAAAAATAATCTTACTAATTATGATATCAAAGGAACAGGAGACTTGAAAGCAAAGTTAGATTCAAAAACCTGTATTACAATTATTGCAATTATGATTAACTTAGTAATAACTGTAACTTTTTATAAACCTCAGGAATCGTATAATCACATTTATCCTGAAACCTCATCATAAACACCCTAAAAAATTTGGCAAAAAGAACAAAAGGTAACTGCACATTGGTTGTTTCACCATACCCATGAGGAGGAGGATGCAAGTGGTAGGGAAAGACACTCAAGTTTTATTGGGCAGGGGAAGTTGGACTCGTTACGTTCTGGAAAATGAAAGAAACATTCTCTTTGATCCTTTCAAGGAAAGGATCAGCTAGAGCCTGATGCTGCCCTGAGAAATGTTTCCATTGCATCAGCTGTGACATAGAGAGTGGCTTCTTTGAATTAGGCTTCCCCTGGTCTTGTCCAAGCTGGCAACTTCTAGATGCAGAAGGCTTTTCCGAGGAAGGATCTGAAAAAATGATGAAGAAAATTAATCAGAGAAAACTGAGACAGAGAATTTCAGTCTGAATCAATAAGCCAGTTAGAGATAATAAATGAGAGAAAATAGAACGTCATATAGAATCATTCTATGTCAATGAAAACCAAACATATGTATCCACAGTACGAGGGGAAAGGCTCTCTTTCTTGCTTATTGATCAGATTTAACAAAATCATCATCTGCTAGCTCAAAGATGAATCTTCTCACAAATAGATGGGAAAGGAAATATCTTATCTAGAAATTTCCTTTCTTTTGTTTTCCCATTTATGTGACATTTGGGTTGCTCCCATTCTTTAACTCTGAAGGTAGAAGTCTGTTGAAGCAAAACTTGAACTAATTTTGATTTCCTCCCAAAGGAGTCATTCCAACCAGCTAAAAATAGTTTGACTGGCTATTTCATTGACTCAGCACACTAGAGGTGGATCTCTAGTGCACTCTGTACATTCTGTGGTGGTTTTACCCAGCTGGGCAGCTGAGCTCCACCACAACTGCTCTTTCATTCCCCCTCCTCAAAGGAAAAGGGGACAAAATACAATGAAAAGGGCTCAAGGGTTGAGATTGGACAGGGAAATCACTGCCATCCTTCCCGAACTGAGCCTGCAGGGGCTGCCCACAGGCAGCAGCTCTTCAAGAACTGCTCCCACATGGCTCCGTACCACGGGGAGTAACAGTGCCTAAGTGCAGGCTGGCATAATTTGAACATCACTTACTCATACAAGAACAGAAGGTCTAATTCTTCAATCCTTAAGGAAAGATACAAAGATAATGAAATCAACAAGTGGAGTAAAAAGAAGGAAAAACCTCACATTGTCATGGTTACAGAAGCTTTGTGCTTTCACTAACCAAGTCCTCCCCATTTTGAATAGAATGAGTTGAGAAAGGAATAGAAAGCTCTAGCCTATGGCACGGAGACATGAAAACCATCAAGCAAAATAATCACATCGGGTCTGTATTACTTAATTCCTTACTTATGTCTGTTGAGAATGCGTGCTTTTGTAGCCATTCCTTTGGCTCTTTTTATTGTGAAATCTGTTAATACTACATATACATATTTTATACCAAAAGGAAAGCAATGTGCTAGGGCAGTAGACTCTCTTTCCTTTAAGAAATCAGAAATTGAAATGATCATTACTGTCCTTGAATATTTAGAAACAAAACACCACATTTGGCACAATGGCATTTGGTTGTGATGAATCACTAGTTCAGCTGGCCATAGCTAATTCAAGGAATCAAGAGGCGTGATATAGGAATTGGTTGTTAGGGTAAGGAATGAATCTTTCCTTCTCTTCATCTTGTCAGGAGCTCCTATGGATCAGAAAAATCAGGCAATATGTGGCAGATCCCATAATGAAATTCATTATTTCAATCCTATTTTACTGAGCATTGGAGTTTTCTCCAGTGACAGACTGTATATTCAAAACGGATGCACTTTCCTCATCAATGGTCAGAGATAATGGAAAAGAAACTCACTTTGATGGTCTTTGTTTCCCATACAATCACACTCAAGCAAGTCATGGGTAACACAGCTGGAATCTTCATGAAGTGTGAAGAGATTTTTGAGCTCCTCAACGGAAAAATGGATGTGTTCGGATGTCTTGGAAAGGTCTACAACCGCCCCAGAAAGATCTTGTTTGCTGATCTGTCTTTGATAAATCTTTTCTTCTATTGAGCCTGGATTGAAAAACCAATAGATAAACTGCAATAATTTTTGACCAGCACTTGCCAAGAAGAAAAGTCAAATCCATTTCTTCACAATATTCATAGGAAATGCTGAGCCACTATTTTCAACTACTAAAACAAGAGCAAGGAAAAGGTAAATGAGTCAATGTGATGTCGCTATTTTAACTGAATTCAGAACAAATTATGTATATTTTAAAAGAATGAATAATTTCCAAAAACATTATCTCTCTTTCCTCTACTGGCAATATTTCAATGGCTGTTTTAGTCTGGAGTATATTTGAGCACCATCTCTGACCTGTGGTTAGCAGTCTGTAAATATGTACAGTATGTTTTTGACCATCTCTCCACACTCTGGCCATTGCCTGAAGAAAGGAAAAAGATGAAAAGCATTAACAGCATATGATACAATAGAACTTACAGCTAAAACTTAGCATCTGCTGATCAAATTACCAGATCTGCTAGCTCATTCAAAAAGATGTTGTCCAAAGAAAGCATTCCTCAGTAGCTGTCTTTGACTATTTTCATAAAAATATTCTGGTATTAACTATAAATTATTTTGAAAATATAATTTACTTTCTTTCTGCTATTTATGCTCCTCTTTGTGTATATTATATTAGGAAAGTGGGGCATTTATATCCTTCCTGCCAGCAATCCCCTCTTTACATTTCTTTTCTAAACACTAGCAACAGTTTAATATTTCAGGAATACTTGTCATTCTCCCCCATCTCCAATTCTTTTTTTTTTTTTTACCATAATACGTCTTTATAAATGACTATTCCATTTCTTTTAAGATTGTAGTTTCACACATAATTCTTAAATAAACAAACAAAAAAGTTAAGTGAGTACTATTATATGATTTTTGTCAAAAATGTTAGGGTTACATGTACATATTAGGTACAAGTACTCATAAATGGCTTGCAGTATTTGGCAAGCTGTAACAATTTTGAGTGATAGAACAGTGTTTAAAGCAACGTGACAAGTGACCACATGGGGGTACTAATTCACAGTTGGAACAGGAGCAGGGGCAAGAATTGGAGCTTCTTTCAGGTAGGTATTAAGAATTTATTATTAATCTATAATCAGAAGTCTCTTCCTGTGCTTATAAAAGTATTTTTTTTTTAATTGCTATTATTAAGGAGTATTTTAACTGAACGCTCTTATGCCAACTAAATAATCCCTTAGGGCCATGTGCACAGTTACAAGCAACGGTACTAGCTTTGTTTTCTTTCTTTTAATGTCATTGCCACATGATTTTCTCATTCTCTTAATTCTGATCAGGACCTTTCCCTTTCTCTTATGTACAGCAAATCAACAGCAACACTTGCTACACCGTCTAATCATAATCTTATTTTCTTTTTAGAAACAGCAACTTTCCAGTTTAAAAGTGATCAGAAGACAACAGAGATATACAACTCATTCCTCCAAAGTAACCAGAATCTAATCTACTCTTTTCATTTTTTTTTACTGATGGGGTCCTTCTAATGATGCATATATATGTATATATGCATATATATATATATGTATAAAAATAGAGAAATATTTTTTCTTTGCTTCTCAGAGTTTTCCTCCAGTATTGTACTTACCCAGATATAATGTGATAGTGAGGTAGCAATGAGACATGTAAAGCCAGACATTTCAAAATCAATCAAGAACCCATTTGATGCCCATCCCAACCTACACATACACAGTTGTATCAGACCTGAATATCCGTAGCTGGATTCCAGTCGATATCATACAGGATCAAGTGAGATGCCCCGACCAGATTCAGTCCTACTCCGCCAGCTTTTGAGCTCAGCAAGAAGATGAAAGCTGGACTGAATTTACTGTTGAAGCTATCAACTATATGTTGCCTCTGGGAGACAGGAGTATGTCCATCAAGTCTCGTATAAGAGTATCCATAAGTTTTGCATGTCTCCTGTAATATGTTCAATGTCTGAGTGTAATTGGATACTAGTACGACCCTGTCAAGCGGAAAAGAAAAAAAAATTATCATCTTAGACCTCGGCAAAGTTAAAGTACAACAACAAATTATTGAAGACAACTAAAAAAATGAAATCACAAGTCAAGCAAAAATTAAACATCAACATGAGGTTACTCATATTTCCTAGGAAACTTTTAATATGATTTGAAGCACTTACTAGATTTGGATGCATTAAGTCTTATCATCTAGTGTTTGAATGTTAAGTAATTAATGTTTTCCTTCACAATAGAATTTGGCCCAACTCACAGATTACAGGGATCCAGAATAAACCATATATATATATATAATATATATATTATATATATAATATAACATAGCTGGCAGCATTAAGGCAGCATTTGCAGAGGATGTTGTAGCAGCTAATTAAAAATACGTATGACTTTGCTTATTGAAAAAGCTACTGCGAACTTCTACAGATAGCCTAGAAAAATAATGATAAATAAAATCATGAAAGTCAGATAAGAAAGCAATGACTCTTGCCTACACTGAATGACTGAAAAGAAATGGACTGAGGCATGATGAAAAATATCACAAAAAATATAGTCTGGATTTTTTTAAAACGAGTAAGTCTCCTGGTTCATTACACTAATGACTCTTATTATGTCAGTGTTATTTCTCTTACATTCTGAGCAAATAAGCTTCAAAGATCTGAAAATCTTGAGTTTCTGTCCTCAAAGGTAGTGAGGATGACAGTACTGAGAGGACAAAGAAAGATCTTTTTAATTGAAGCCGTAAACAATAATCACAGTTAAGGCATATTCTGATATATTTTGTTTAGAAGTCTAAACTAAATGTACAAAATTCCATCAAATAATATTTTTTTTAAAATATTTTTAAAAAATATTTTTTTAATAAACAGAAATACTGAAGAACTATACAAACAATTTCAGGGAAAATTCTGCAAATTAACATTTAAAATTTGTTTTATGTTATTATTGTTGTTGTTATTATCACAGCTGCCTCTACAATCAAACTAAATCCAAGATGCGTTTGTAAAAACTTTGCAAGGTAGACTTTTTGACAATCAACCTGAAATTCACACCTTTGTTTTCACTCAAAAGTAGAAACATAAACTTTAACAGAGGACTGGAATTGGGTCTGTATATTGCAAAAACTATTTAGTGCTAATGAGAGCAGAGAAACAGAAGAAAAAGAAACATGAATAGCACTGAATTAAAGTAAAAAAGTTATTGAAGTTATACAATAATGCCTCAACATGAGCTGTAACTCAGCAACTCCCATAGCACTGACATGAGGAAAGGTGTTTTTTCCTCACACCCCTGATTTTTTTGACTTACACGAAAAAAAGGCTAGCACATTTAGATGTTTAGCTGTCACTGGTTTCATTGGATGCTAGGCATATAAACTCCCATGACAGGCTCAGATTTCTGATTTGTAAGAAGAGAGCACCAGGAAGAAACAAATTCCATTGCACAAGTGCCAAGAGATCTGCTGTTACTTCACACTACTGAATTACAGCTTGTCCTATTTAAGCATCAATTAAAATAAAAGTTAAAAGCTAAATACTTTTGAAATTGCTGGGCTTTAAGGTATGAGTACAGAAAAAAGTTATCATGAGACACAAGGTCACGTTGAGATTTCCATGAATCAGCAATTCCACAGTAACCAACCAGTGTGCATCCTATTACCCCATAAGCAGAGGTTTTCCTACATGTCAGTGACATTTACCATGGGGGAAATACGCAGTTGTTGTGCAAGTTCACCTGTTAAGACTTGTTGCCCTGGACAGAAAAGGCAGCAAGCACTGAGCAGTTTAACATGATTAAAGGGGAAAGAACTCATAATCCACTCATTAAAAATATTTTAGTGCAATTTCAAATATTTAATACATTAAATAATTGCCTCAAGGAGATACAAAGCATTGGGAAGACTTTGCAGGTAAAGATAATTTGTCATAGCACAGAAGCTGTAGCAAACTCTATCCTAGTTGCTGGAACTCAGGATGAAAAATACAATTATCTTTGCCTGGAAATATGAAGAGCAACTTTGAAAATTATGTCAGCTGCAAATCATAGGTTAGTAATTTAACAAGGAAGAACCAGAAGTAAAATGCATAAATATGCTTGGCACCTCTGAAAACAGCTGCAAAGGTTTTATTTTAAATATTATGTCCCTACACATTTGAAAAGCAAAACAATATAGAGAAGGTCACTCTTATTATCTCCCTTTTACCTTACTTTCACACTTACCTTTCAGAAGAGTTGAGCTCATGGATTGCTGCTAACAACTTCACCAGCACCCGCAATTTTCCTGAATCAGTTTCAGAGAAAGTGTCAGAAGTATAATCTTGTGGAAAGACATCCGTTAGACCTTCATAGAGACTGGACTCATCATGCTCATCATTCATCGGATCACAGCTTTTTTCCTATTAAAAATAAAAGGATTCAAGGTTCATGTCCCCACTAAAATGTTTTCTGCTTTTTTATTTTTAAAACTTTACTGATAGCATTTACTGTGTTTACACCCTCTAATCCAAGATGTTGTTTACACCTGAGAAGAGAACAGGTTGAAATACTGAAAAGTCAAAAATGCATTTGACTTCTTCTCTACTTCAACAACCAAACAGATATACAGCCATAACTAAAGCTTGGGAAAACAAATCAATACTCTGTTTATTCTTTCTAAATCCTGTAATACCTTATCATGGAAGTCCAAAATCATTGACTTTTGGGGGGAAGATACTGTCATTAGGATTCAGTTATGCAAGGGAAGTGAAAACAAGCTGACAAGTAATAACAACAAAATAGAAGAAATACAGGTAATATTCTGCTGTAATTTGAAAATCGATGTTTCACGAGGAGGAAAAAGCCAAACTAATAAAACCTCACAGCAGTAATAAATGACTTGCATTTACAGTCCTTTTCACCCACATAGTTTCTAAAGGCTTACGCTTTCACTTACAAAAAAATTTGAATGCTTATATAATAAAGTAAAAGCAACAAACTTTACTTGACAGGGTTGTCAGTTACGTCAGGGATGTCTGCTGTGGACATTCCTACAAAGTCACGAAGAACCTCTTTTAAGGAACATTTACATCTCCACTCACCTTACTTGGACTTCGACCAGTGTCCAAAGAAGTTACTATTACTAAGTTCTAACTATCACATTATTTATCTATAGGAATGAGAACATTTCTGTAGAAATAATAAGGTGTACAGCATGATAGGATTCCAGGAAAAGTGAAAATTGAGACATCTAGTACCAATGACGTGTTGAACCTACAGTTCCTGGTATCACTGAACTCAAGAAATGTACGGGCAGGGAAGTTTCAGGGGAACCAGCAGACAGAGTATAAAGACTAATCTCTAGCTAAGTGTTCTGTGTAAAATTCACATTTGTATCTAGATCTACAAATATTCAGAGACAAAACTAGGAGGGAAAATAGATGAAGGCAACAAAGAACAAGAAAATACCCTTAAGCCACAGGAAGGTGTAGAGATACCTTCCTTGAGTACGTTCAGATTTCCTAACATTTACATTTTTGCAAGCTGATCTCCTAAAGTAAGTCAGATGTGAAAAGAGAGCATGGAAATGACCTTAACTAACATGCACATTGACCATAACATATTTTTAGTGACCTTTGTCCACTGAAATGACTAATTGCAGGCACCCACCCCCATGCAAATAGATACCTTTACAGCTTTAAACAGAAGACATGGATGATTGCAAAGTTTTTTCAAAGCTCCTATACATATTAGGTGAGGACTATTTTCTAGCCTGCCTTGTAAACAGGATCTAATAACTTGAGAACTAAGCAGTTTTCGATACAGTTCAAGTTGCAGTGCTGTTGGTCGGCAGAAGATTATGCTCTCCTTTTTTGGGGGGAGAAATTTGTTTATAACCTCCTGTGTTCTCCTAAGAATAAAGAGTCCAGTGAGGCGTGTGAGTTCTGCTGCTCTTTTTTCTCCTAATTCCTTTTCCTCCTAAAAGAACAAAGCGCAAAATTAATGTTCATCTTGCATTCCATCAAAATATTTTTCTATATGATTTTAATTAGGCAGCTAATGAACATTTTGATTTAATGACACCACTTTCAGCATGTGAATGTAATGATCAGTTCTACAATTAGTACGACTGCATTAGCTTAGTTCTAGGTTTGGTTTCTAAGGTCTTAAAGAAAGGAGAATAATATCTCAAAAGACATGCAAGGCTCAAATTATATTGCAGAATTTCTTTATGCAGTACAGATGAAGTAAAATCATGGAGATATTTCAGTATTGTGGAGAAACTGAGAATTAATAGAGTATAATCATATCAAAATTTACATGGCATTATCAGGAATGCATATTTTGCCTGATAATGAAAACACGGATGAAATGCCATGATCTCAACACACGCATATTCCTCTCCCCCCCACACTTTGGAAAACAACTGAATTTATTCAAATAGGAAGCTGAGAAGTTTTTACTGCCATTAGCAGTCCCAAGCTTCATTTTATTCCATAGAAAGCTAATTTCACTTTGCTCTCTATTAATTTCCTTCTATAACTGCATTTTTTAAATACTATACCATTGTTGCTGAAGGTTCTCTGGATCTGACAATCGGCTCCTCATATATTTTTCTATATGTGGACAAAGAACCAAGTACTCCCGGATTTACAAACTCTATTAACGCATAAAATTCTTGCAAGTCATTTTGGATTGGAGTACCTGGAAAGACAGAAAAGTAGTTATGCATTTGGTAACTATTTATTAAAACAGACAGAAGTAAAATTGTTGAATGCAGAATTTAACGTTGAGAATGCATCCCGAGAAGTTTTGTTTCAATATGAATTACTCAGAGCACTGAATTAATCTATAATAGTGATTAATAAAGTACTGTCTCCCTAACTGAACAGACTGCACATCTAGTTATTTTGACAAAGGAATTCAAAAAGTCAATTTCTAAATCAGTTTTATTAAATAAATACAAAAGAAAATAATGACTGTATATAAACAGAGTCCCGATTTCCTTACAAAAGTTCTTAGGCTCCTTGCCTGTCCTTTAAGTTAGACAAATTTTGCCTTTATTAAAAAAAAAATAAAAATTTAATGAAATAATCTGTTTTAACAAGACCCAAGATTTGTGTGCTTAATACCCATTGCCAAAATTTATATTGTGCTCCTGTCACATTTACAATCTTTTCCCTTTCCCCCAAGCTGGCACTTTCAGCATAGCAAAATATTACAAGCAACTATAAATACTAACCAGTAAGGATAATTCTCCTCTCACAAGGCAGACTAGTAAGGGCTGTAGTTGTCTTAATGGAGCTATTTTTCAGACGATGTCCTTCATCACAGATCAGGAGGTTAAATTCTATTGCCTGAATTTGTTCCAAAGATCGTAGTAGCATCTCATAACTGATTATCATAACTGAATAAAGTGGAGAACTGATGAATTCTTCTACTTTGTGGTCCTACAGGCATAAAGAAAATATATCATACAACTATTTCTTCGGAGATCACTCATCACACTATTTAAAGATCTAGTGTCTGCAGAAATTTTCCAGCATGACACAGAACATTTACCATCTCCTCCAAGAGTTGGATTATTGATTCCTTCCTAATTTGCAAAGGAAATAAGAGAGCTGATACAACATTTTTTTAAACTTTATTTTATCACCTCATTAATAGACAATTTATTATTCTTTTAGACCTTCAGATCCTCTGAGACACATTACCATGAAGGTGAAAAGCACAGATTCCCTATAACAGCTTCCCAGTCCTGGCATTTAGGTTGGCTTCAAATGGATGATAAAAAAGATGATAACAAACAGGCATAAGTGGCTGCCTGTAGGAAGTTACCACATTCTGCCAGCCTAAAATTCCACCTGTAGTTTTAAATTGAATATGATACTCACTTTGTTAAAAGCCCTTAACATTGATGGGTTGGCCAAATGCTAAATGCAGCCTAGGACTCGCAGAGTTAAGCCTATAAATAGTCCCAGAAAACAAGCCTGTCTATTGCTAAATAAATTCAATTGAACTCTAAACCCTGCATTAGACTTTTGTTTCTAAACTCCAGGATAAAACAACCAGAAAAAAGTCTATTTTTTATCAAATGTGACAATGAGGAAACCAACAACAGCTGTCCATGTTAGACCATTCAAGTCTGAACCAGAATCAGTTGTACAGTTCTAGATCCTATAGACTGAACTAGCTTTAAAAAGAAACACGAAATTAAGAAGCCACTGTAATGTGAAAGGGAGCTCCTTCAATAAACAAATAAATAAATAAATAGAAACCTCCTAGAAACAGTTATTGGACTCATTGATCCTTGTGGGTCCCTTCCAACTTGGGATATTCTATGATTCTATGATTATTTGTTTACATACTTACAGACCTGTGAATGTACTGGGATTGCTTACCTGTCTTGTAATTACACATAAAAATGAAAAATTCTTCTGTTGGCACATCCCTTATCTTTCCACTTAGCTCCAGATACTAATTCCTTGCACACTCTTTCCTGTTTCCTAACATTGATCACTTCCTAAGCAGGCAACAGTAGCAGCTGACAAGCTGAACTATCTCTTTAATTTTGAAGCAGACCAACCTGGAGCCCCAAAAGGTATTTTTATTTCCAAACAAGATCAGTTACCAAAGACAGACAACTAAGTCTGCAGCCAGATGGTGTAATACACTGAAAGAGTAATACCACTTAATTACCACAATCTTTAGAGCTTTCAAGTAGGTGATTCAGGTGAATCCATGGGCCAAATCTGGCAAGTTAATCCCACAAAGTACCGTGTGGTAGGTGAATCCCCACATCTTGCTCACGAAGAGGCCCAGCACATGATGGAGGAAGCAAGGAGCTGTGAAGAATAGGTTAACGAGGGCACGCACCGATTTCCCCCAGGTGTCTGAACTGGACCACGGCATTCCTGTTGCTTCCAAGAGACTGCAGTTAAGTGCCTGTTTTCTGCCCAGTATTTTTACTGCCATTTTGGAGTTGATGGCAGAAAATTTCCCTCACCCTCCATTCCCAACATGGGAGCAGAGGAGCCCTGCTGGCAACACTCAGTGCTGTCCATACCCAGGCTCCATACTGCAGCCCTGAGGACAGATGCAACGCCCCCTGATCTTTTGGTGGTCAAGCATCAGAAGATGAGCAGGGTTTGGAAATTATTTTGTTTTCCTGCACTTTCGAGCAGCTTCCCTCCCCTGGCTTCTCATTCGGAGTGCTAGAATCCCTTAAAAAGAAGGAGAGTCCTGACATATTATAACCCCCCTGCAGCCAAATCTAAGATATTCACCGCTGTATATAATAACCTTACAAGTCATTTTCAAAGAATTAATTTATCCTCTTAACTAGCTGCAAGATATGTATGTATTACAGCCTCCATTTTCAGTTACCCGGAGTGACTTGACAGGTTTAAGCGAGGTGCCTGGAGCTTCGTAGGGAGCAATTGTCAGTCAGCATTAGAGCCCCATGATGTCCCACACTTACTCTTTGAACAGACCCTGCTTTGCACTAGTCCGAATCTAGCGTAGCCAGTGAGGTGTAAATTAAAAAACGCTGAATCCTGAACCTTGCCTTAATTCCTTCTCCAGACTCTTCAACTTAAAAACCAGCCCAACACAACCTCTGTAGAAGTGATGCTCTGCAAACAGATCATGGGAGTTATGCTCTGAAACACACCTCAAACGCTGATAACGTGGATTAATGAGACCTAAATGCAATTTTTGTGAGGAAACCTTCATTTTCAAAGCAATGTCCTCTGCCTGACATTTGCATTTTGACAGAAGTAAACTGTACTCACATTTTAAAAGCAAATAATGTCCTGGTTTTTTTTTTTAAGAGTTTGTCACAGGAGGGTTAGGATCAGTTCTCAGTGCTTCAGCGTGAGAATGAGGAAAACACGCCTAACACATTTTGAAAAGTCTGCTAGTTCTTTGAGTGTATTCCTTACAGGCAAGAATAGAAAAATAAATAAATAAACTTTGAGACAAGCTCTTCCTTTTATGTTATACTGAAGAAATAACAGTAGGATAATTGCTGTTTTTCTGTAGAAGATAGACAGTAAATTATTTTTAAATACCTCATTATACCCCAGGCAAGTCATATTGCATCTTGCCTTTGCATGACAATGTACTCGTTGCTATTTGGGAGCACAATCTTAAAAGCTGCTGAGTGTCCTCAATCCAAATGGCTCCAATGAATGAGTAGGAATATTAAAGTTATTTAAATTAAAAGACAAATAAAAGCTACTGTCAGTTTGGTTCACGGTAACTGTCAGCAAAGTCGGATTTTTTCTTCCCAACATTATTCGTAGTAACTGAAAGAAAACATTTAATTATTTCTAATTATCATTGTCAGGCAAAAATTTTGCATATTATATTTTGCCTTGTATCCACTTCCTTTAGAAACTTCTATATTTCTCAACCTCTCAACCTATATTACATTACAGTTCTTGACAAGGCAATCTGCTTCATTTCCACATCTTGAAATAAGTTAGTAAGAAAAAAAAAGTGATGCAAAGAGCACCTATTACTGAAATGTACATGTAGACTGGCCCCAGTGGAAGATGAGTAGGTTCAGTAATTTCAGGGGTTTGACAGCAATAAGAGTGGTATTCAAATAAATAATTACCTTTACAAAATCTTATATGTTCTATAAAATTTACATCTACATTTAAAATAGTTTGAAAACTTCCACTTTGTCTGAAATATTTGCTGTTCCATAAAGACAGTAAAAATATTATAAGAAACTAAAAGCAGATTATGCAAGAGTTAGGTTATCTTTAAAATGAAGTATTTTTTTTCTTCGATGTAATTGTATGGAACATATAGATTAAAAAATAACTGGAAAATAAACATCTGTATCTTTGATGTAAACACTAATGTAAACATTACACGTTTACCATTTGTGTTTTATATTCTTCTTGTTTAGTAAAACCAAAGCTGTCAAGTCAGCTTCTATTGCATTTCATCTGGTGTTCTGAATGCTTCATTCAGACATGTTAAGTGTCGGTGTCCCCACACTGGTGCCTCCCATACTCCTCTAATGTTTTACAGGCACAGACCTCCTGTGTCTCCACTTCCTCCCACGGGGATGATTCAAACAGTAAGGACCAAGGAAGAAGCAAGGGAATGGTAGATTGTTGAATGTTCCTGTAGAAACCACAGTTCGTGTGTTTGCTCAGTAACTTCCCTTTTCTTTCTGTTATGAATGCTCACTCCAAATGGACATGGGAAGCAGAGGGCTTAGGAAAATAAATAGTGGATGGTGAATTATAAACAACAGAGCTTGACTTTAAAAGCTTTGGAAGTGTTAATAAAGGCAAGAGAGAGACTTCTGTTCACAGCATGACAAACGTCAGTCTGAGGGGAGCCAACACTTTGAGATACTGAGCCATGCTTAAAGAGAAGCATGACAAGAAAGCCTTTCTGAGTAACCAGAGCAAGATTTGTATCTCCAGAGAAAGCCCTGTCAGTGATAGTACACCTTCACTCCTTGAACTCCTTGCTCTTTTATTTGTCTTTACCAGGTGCTTTCCTGACTGATGTGGTCAGTAAAGCTCACTGAAGCAGAGAGCCCATGCTAGAACATCGAGTTTCTGCAGTTAGACAGAGAGCTCTGTGTTCCAAAAAGGAGGCAAGATCCTAGAGGTATACCAAGGAGATTAAAAGACGAAATACTCCCTCAGCACATGGGATTCATATGAGCAATACAGGAATTTGGGAGTGTCATTACCAGCAGAAATAGCTCCACAGTAGGAGGGATAGGGGTCAGCGTCAGCCAGCTTCTTTATTGAGATTTGTACCTGTCTGCTTTCTTCCAGAGAGAAGAGATATTCACGTTATGTAACACTGAGCCTCTGGCTGTGGTATAAGACTAAATCATCCTTACAGAAACCTAACTCTTGAACGCGACAGTAAAGGGAATAACCTTCTAAAGTGACCTGAAGCAGACAGCTGAAACAAGGAGGAAAAAGTTTTCAGTGCAGAGCACCAGGAACTACCAAAGAAACTGAGTACAAGTCAGTCAAGCTAGAAGTGGTGTTACATAAAACAAGGAAGGTATGCACTTTGATGTATAACAGAAAGCTCTTCCTTAAACCACAGAGGGATGAGGAAGAGCATGCCATCTTTTACATCCGCAAAGGTGAAGCCTGAGGGAAGATATGACAGATGCAGGCAGAGCTTGAGCTATAACCTGGTTACTGACAACTAAACGCACATTTGGACAACTACATGAAGGAGAAACGAAGTATTCCAAATAAATATTAATAGAGGATTACTAGTTTAGGTCTCTGGTTAAAAATAATAATAATAAAAAAAAATCACAAGTCCTATATTCTGAGCCAGATATGACCTAATCCCCTTTTGGAAATAAATCTTACCTGATCAACTGTAAAGACTTTGATCCTTTCACTTCCCAACCATTTCTGAAATTCTTTTTTCCAGTTTTTTACCAGACTCCCAGGGGTCACAATTAGTGCTCGCTTTAGTACAGGTTTGCATCCATAAACCCCTTGACGCAGGAGAGTCCAGACAAGTGAAATGCATTGCAAGGTTTTTCCTAAGCCCATTTCATCAGCAAGAATAGCTCCAAATCTGCCACTAACTCTGTAAGATAAAATGATAACATTTTAAAAGATATATCTGTAATTATTTACAACTGTTTTGGGGAATTGTTTCTCAAGGTTGTTTTCTGAAGTATAAAGAACCTATTTATACTTATGCTTTGCTGTAGGTTTTCATTCAGGAAGGACAAGAAGTCCTTAGAGAGAAACTCCTCATTTTTTACATTAATGCACTAGCCCTCCAAAACCAAATAGTTATATCTTAATTTAGAATTTAAAATATTATATAATATGTAGTTTTTTTAACAGTTGCATATGCCTTCTCTATACCTTCACTGTACATACTTCCTTCAGTTTCTCTATCCCAAATGACTGAAATATAAATTATATGAATAATTATAAATTATATGAATTATAAACCCCAGAAAGCAGTGTGCTTTAGCATGGGTCAGATTGTATCTGTGTTTTCAAGACGTGCTAATTTCAGCAGAACTGACAGGCCCTTTGCTGCACTTATCATATCTGGCAAAGTCATAGCAAGCACAATGCTACATACAGGTCAGAAAAAAAAACCACTGTGAAACCTTTCCTAGGAGAAAATTATTAATATTATTAATATTAATTAACTGAACAACTTCTCAAATTTCCCCCTTCCAATTCTTTAATTTCTAACATGAACATTAAAATATTATAGGTATTGAAATCCAAAAGAATAATTATGTTCTTACCTCATTCCCATTACGCATTCATATAGAAATACAATTCCTTCTTTCTGATGTGGTCGGAGGTTATTTGCAATGTAAGGATCCACAACTACATCCACCACAGGTAGACCTGCCTTATTGAACATCCACTGATGGCTTGCATTTGGTCTTGGCATAACCAGAGAATCTTGAAGTAAAAAAATATATGCAAATGTTGCACTTTTTTTTTAGTCATTTAGCATAGAGTATTATTTATTTAAATAATCTACAGAAAAAGTAGTCAATGATCTGATTGCTGCTAAATACACGGTTTAATATATGGACCATTCTCAGTCAGAAAATGCACTTACCAACAGAACTTTTAGATAGCCCTTGAAATAATCTCTTCACAGCAGTTTCCAGAATAGTTTGCACTTTTCTCCAATGTAAAAGTGACAAACTGGCAAGTCTGAGTATTGTTTTATGAAGTGAAACTGCCTACTAAATGTTGCATGACAACTTTGAATACTTAGAAGAAGGTCTAAAAGGTTTCTAAAAAGAAAGTCTAAGAACACAAAGAATAACCCACAGAAAGCCTGGACACTATTGCAAGGGGATATTCTTGAAGATGCTGGGAAAGACTTCTCTTCTTGAGGAACAGAGATAAGACAATGATTTGCTAAAAAAGAGAGAAAGAATGAGAGTGAGCCAACAAAGGCTGCCACAGTGTGTGAATACAAGAATTTGACAAGTTTGAAGATATACAGGGGCAAAGAGAGCACAAAGGAGTGGGATATGTCCTTTGGCTACATCTGTATAGCAGTTTTGCTTGCCATAATTTGTTTATAAACTCTGATGTCATTATTTTGCTAGACAAAGTCCATACCAGGTTGCTTGTATTGATGCTATACAACCTCACTGAAAAGTGGAATTGTCAGAAGACAGAATGAGAAAGCATTCACAGCCTCTGATATTTTTATGTTGCTAGAATAGATCTATATTGATAATTTATTCATGGAAATAGGTCAGTTGAAGGCTTGTATCACTCAGAGGGATTTTGTTTCCTACTGACAAAGGGCTGAGTTCTGATGGATTACATCAAATTGCATCTGGGTATACATAAAAGGCGATGGTGACAAAAATACCATTTTTCTAACAAAATTTTGCAGTATTAGAGATGGGGAAGAAGTGCAGTCTAAATGAGTTCTGGACTAAAAGCTTAGAAATCATATCTGGAAGACAAGGATTTCCATCTTTGTCACCGCACTCTGTTCTGTTGAGCACACTGATAAACAACATTTCATTTTGAAAAAGCTGCATTTTAATCAATGATTGTCATGGACCTCAGCATGAAAACCTTTGAATGCTCCAATACCGAGGTCCTGGTCTAGGAAAATATCTCCATTACTTCTGAAAGAAATTATGCAGCAAGGCATTAAGCAAGCTATGTGATCCTCCTGAGTTAAACGACATTAATCATAGAATCACAAAATGGTTTGGGTTGGAAGGGACCTTAAAGCCCATCTAATTCCCACCCCCTGCCATGGGCAGGGACACCTCCCACCAGCCCAGGTTGCCCAAAGCCCCATCCAGCCTGGTCTTGAACACTTCCAAGGATGGGACATCTCTGGGCGACCTGTGCCAGTGCCTTACCACCTTCTGAGTGAAGAATTTATTCCTTATACTTAATCTAAACCTACCCTTTTTAAGTTTAAAGCCATCCCCCCTTGTCCTATCCCTACACTCCCTGACAGAGTCCCTCCCCAGCTTTGCTGTAGCCCCCTTTAGGTACTGGAAGGGCTCTGTAAGGTCTCCCTGGAGCCTTCTCCAGGCTGAACATCCCCAGCTCTGTCTGAGGGAGCACTTGATCCCGCTGTCCACGTCACTAACAAAGATGAGTGATAGTCCAACCTGCAGATGTGTTGAGGGCTTTCCATATCAGGCAATTTGGGGAAGTCTCACAGGAGGTGCTCAAACTCACCAGAAGAAAAGTTACAGAAGGTAAAGAACTAGAATAAAACTCAGCTTTTTAACAGAGTATTGCTTAAGCAACAAAGAAATTCATTTGGGTATAGAATATATCAGCTCTTTGCCAGATTTTCAGTTAGAAAGCTAATGCGGAATCATGAAAACACAGGAAGCTGCATTACTAGAAACAACATAATCATGCTGAATTGAGACTAGAAGATGGTGCTAATGAAAGTGCTCTTACAAAAGCGCAAATGATATCATTAATTGCTAGATGATGAGGATTTCATTGTTTATTTACATAGCAGTCAAGCAGTCGCTTTGAAAAGCCTTACAATATCAAGATATGGGGCAAGAAGTTGGATGGAGGTAAAACTGTAGTAAGAATACAGAACAACCTTTTTTTTTAAAAAATAAAAATAAAAAAGGATTGCTCTACTTAGTAATATTTCTTTAAATTTGTTTCTATCTTCCATCTGAAAGATAAAGCCGTCAGCAGAACATAGTTCCTAACCAGCAGGTTGTATGACTGGTTTGTTATTGATCGACAGAAGAGCACGTCTTGTTTAGATAAGCAATGGCACTTCCTGCATTTATCAAATGCTTACAGGATCCCTCTTACACAACTGCTTAACCAGTCAGTTTCCATGTGAATTCTCATGGCTTTTCAGCACAGGGTAGTTCTAGTATTACAAATCAAAACTTTTATCCCCAAATATATCCTGTTGAGTTTTGGGCAGTGAAGTTAAACTCACTGGCTGGGAAGAATCGGGCACCATCAGGAACAATTCTCTGAATCTGGCTTACCTGGTCTATTACTGATCCTTCACAGCAATTACGGTGTTGCCATATTCTGCTAGTGCTTCACTGATCCCAGCGGGAAGCTGGAACTCATCTAGAACTTCTAGGGTATGTCAGCCTGTTTCTCTGATCAACGTACACAATCTTCTTGGCAAACCTCTCAGAAACCACTCTAACCTGTTTCTACAGCCATCTGTAACAACTATGAGAAACTTGACCCGCAAAGCATTTCACTTGTTAAAGTGATAAAATCCTAACATGGCACTGATAGAAACACGACTACTGTATTTCAGAAATCCTACAGTAATACATAGGGGAAAGTGAATCTTTTGGTTAGACCCTCAACTTTTTTGACAAACAGAGGATGATTAAATAACCTTAAACATTTGAACCTTACTTGAAGCATTGGGATCATGGCGAGGTTTGCAGCTTTGAGAATTGTTGAGAATATTCTCTTTAGTATTGGGTTGACAGACATTTTTGAACGGTTTACAGAATCGTTTCATAGTAGCTTGAGGTAAAGCAGTTGGGACTGTGTCATGAGTCGCTATTCCAGTCTGAAAACACCTGCCACTGCTGAAGTCATCTGCTGAAATTACACCCATCACTTCAATTTCTTTTCCTCCAATCATCAGTGTTTGACCTTCATCAAGACTGTCTAACTCTTTAGGTTTATATCCAGTACCTAAAAGAATATAAAAATGTATGAATTAGGACAACACAGCAAATAATACTTCCTTAACATCAGTACTCATCTGCAGGAAGGAAAAATAAAACTGTCAACAGGTATTTGATTCTTAAGCATTTAAATTGTTAAACATGTGAACAAATGAAGTCTTTTCCTCCTTAACAGACTTGACATTTCGGTGGTAATGTTCAGAATTAGATACCAGAATATGTGAGCAAACATTCTACCATCCTCATCCCTGAGTTCTATTGAATGTCAAGTACTCGTTTAAGGGAAATTTATAAAAATCACAATACCGTATCATAGAAAATGGCAGCTTGCCTTAGTTTTAAACTTGTGTAAAACTAATGACCATTCTAGGTCCTTTTCCCTTCTTTTTGTACCCCAGCACGAACACCACTAGCCCCTCTTGCTGTTGATCTAGACAAAATATTCTTCTTCTAAAACCGTTCTCTAAAGTAGCTTTTCACAACTGGGAATATATGCTCTGATTTTTGCCAGGATTTATACTTTGCTCATATATATTATATATTGCTCATATATATATTTTATACTCAATACTTTGTTCATTCCAAAACCTATCAGGAAGCTGAAGCATTTTTCTCTGCCCTCCTAGGGACTCTGTCAGGTGAACATTCCCAGAGCAGCTACTGATCAGTCTAATTAAAAAATAAAGATGTAGTTCCACTTCCTTTTAATATAAATATGTAGGAAAGATTTGTGGTTCCTTCTTTTAAACAGTGTTCTAGTTGTTAAAACTCTCACATAAGAAATGGGAGGCTTACTTATAATTTATTTTCTTAACTCAGGGAGGTCAAAGACACCTCTCTCTCAGAATTAGAAGCAGGCACTTTTTATTTATTTATTTTTTTACCCCAATTGTTGGATTTGTGCCACTCTGGATAAATGGGCTCAGAGTCTTAGTTGGGTCAGAAAAATTAAAAGCATGACTATGTTGACCAACAGTTAAAGCACTCATGTGTAAAAGAGGCAAATCCCCCCAAGGTCTTACACACATTGTGTCCAGTAAATAGTACATAGAAAGAATGCTGGGAGTTGTTTGCAAAGCTGTTTGGAAAAAAAAAAAAAAAAAAAAGTTTCCCATTTCTAGGAATGTGTCCTTCCGAAAAGGTTGGAAGGTGAAGATCTGGATGCAAATTCCTTTAAGAGCAGAAATTTACTGAGCTGTTTCAAAGCCTAAGCAAGTGTTGAATAACAGTCAAGCCAAAAGGCAATGGGAGGCCTTTTTCTTCCCCTCTAAATGCATGCAAAAATGCATAGTACTCCTTGTTTGATTCTTGAAAGAAAAATATCTGCTTTCACTAAAGAGCTGAAGATGCCAGGACATAAGAGAAGGAATGTGCCTTTCTAGTCGAGGTACCTGGAGAGGGTAGTTATGACCTATCCTTTGCTAATTTAAATTTAAAATGTCCACTGCTTACATTGGGGAATTGATGATTGTCTTAGAATCCATGAGCATTGCAAACAACTCTAAAGGAGCAAGTTAGACCAATGGCATTGGTATCATTGTGCTCCCCGACACAATCAAACACAGACAAAAGAATTTTACCGGTGACAATGAGAATACTTAAATTTCTATTGTGTTTTCTGCTAATTCAAGAAGACAGGGCTTGAAAAAATCACAAGAACAACAGGGTGGTGGCTGATGCATTCCATGCATTACTCTCTTTCTCCCTGCCTTTTTCAAACCCAAGCAAGTCTGTACATATATTGCTTTGCTATAAATGAATCTGAATTAATTTCTAAGTCACAGACTGACCTGCAAATTGCAACTGCTTGGTCCTAGCAAGGTTCACAATGTCATGATTGTAACAAAAGAGCTGAGAAGCCACCTTGGCCCCAGTATTAATCAAATTATGTTTTGTAGCAACATTTTCCAATCCTACTTCCTCCTCAAATATTTTTGGCTCAGTTAGCAAAGTTAATTCTTTTTTTTTTTTTCCGCTAAAAAAATACTGCTCCAAGTTCCAAGTTGACTGCAGCCTATAGTTTGCAAGTCTTATTTTTAACTCTGATAACAACCCAAACTGTGTCTTACAGCAGCAGCTGCTGCTAAAACTGCAAGACTAAAAATTGCTACACAGTTGACTTTGGCTTGGCTGGAAACCGTTGCTATTGCTTGTCTTTCTGACAAAGATAATATTTTTAGCTGTTTGGCTGAAAAGTACAGCTCCAATCTCAGACATTCCCAGTTACCATACTACTGACGGGAGTATCTCCAAGAACCTTACCTGTATATGTTCCCTGAATTCTCACACCTTCAATGCAGCATAAGAGCAACCAAAATCAACTACTTCTTCCTCATTTGGCATCTCAGCTAAGTTAGTACCGCCGCTCATTTCCAGATCCGCTTCTTGGACTAGCATTTGGTGGTTTTGTGAATAATGTTATTCAGCCTGCTCCAGCCTCCCCCATACATCTGCCTTATACGTAAGAAACATAAAGCCATCTTTCCATCTCCCACCACCACAAAAAAAAAAAAAAAAGACTACTGTGTTTTCATCCGGTGTTCAACTTCGGTATTGAGAACTGTAAAATACCTAAAGAACCTTGTCTCTGTTATTCAAAGCACGTTATTTTTAAACCAGTTTTTCACTTGCACAAGCACGCAAATCTACAGTACCTCTTCCAATGTCTTTGCCTTCCATATCTTTCAAAATTACCGACTTTCCTTTTGTCACAAGAACAGCATCGCCTTCCCACTTCTTGTGCTTTTTCTTTGATGCCTTACACCACACAACACTGAAATATTTTGTAGGGCAGTCAGGTTCTTCCTGTGCTGCTTCTTCCTTTGCCGTTCCTGATGTTGGCAAACACGCTGCATCTAAAAGAGAAATAAAATACCAAAGAATATCTCAAGCTCTCTTGATGAAGCGTACAGTCATTTTCATTTCAAACAAATCAAGGACAATCTATGCATTTAATCTTATATAAACAAAGCGGCATATTTCCTCTCCTGGGCTGTTTATGTTAAGTTTGGACTGAGATAGAAAAGCACATAAGGACTCATCCTGAAATAGGAACCATTAAATTGTTTTTGGAAAGTACGTACTTTCAGGAAAAGGACATTTAGAGAAAAAGGACAAAGTACATTAATCAGAGAACTCCTGACTTGACATAACAGATGAGGAGCGTGTAGAAAGAATAAAAGGAATGGCTGGAGAAAACAGAAGGGAAACAAGCATATGAGAAAATGAGAAGTCCTGGTGAGATGGTGCTGGGCAATGTTCTGGAAGCAAGGACGGGAATACAGGACTCCAGAAAGGGAGCAAAGGAGGCCAGTAAAGAGGTCTGAAGCTAAAGCCATTAGTCCTAAACTTGCAAAATAGGTATAACTGTAATAATGCAAAAGATTACTTCAACTGTTTTCCTCGTGGCCTTTAGAAATAAGCAATTATGCAGACATTGAAACAGATCATCTCTTGAGCTTGCACCCATTCAAATGATGCTACCAGGCTGAGACTGATTTAGATTTGTCAGCAGTTAGATCATTATAAGTATCACAGATATAAATGCTAATACAAAATGTTTAGGTTAATAAGGTTAAGAAATCATAATAGAACAGACAGCTGTTGATTATAATATCGATTAAGAATAAACGCATGCTTCCCAGAGTTTGCAATCTGACATGAGTCAAGTAATGGCAGATAAGTCCTCAGCATTATCTAAAGGAATATCTGTAGCATTCCTTTTCAGCACATGCACAGCTTCAAAGAGAGAATCAGACTAATTTTCATTAAAATACCCTTGCATGCTGGTTAAAGGCTTAAATCGGTTTGCTCCTTTGATTCCATCTGGGATTCAACGCTACACAAATCTGTTACAAAAAAGCGCTTATGCCACAGACTAACCTTTCCAAAATTTCCAAGCATGCTGGTATTTAAAGGAGAAGTAGCAAGAGTTGCTCACAGTAATGGTGAGGCAACTTTATAATAATATCAGGCACCTTCACAATAAATAAAGAGGCAACTTTATTGCTTGTACATCAAGTCTACGTTTTCTTAAAATTGCAAAAAGCTAGTAAGTTACATACATAAAAATGAGTGTAATTTTTTGGACTAGTATCTACTAAAGAAGTATTATCTAAATTAAAAATGCTACATTTATTGAGAATACTTTTCTTCCCAAAGCTGTCTGTAAGTTTTAGTGTCTGGATAGGACTTAATGCTACGCAGTGCTTGATGTTGATCTTTTCTCATGGCACTGGCTGACAACTGTAGTGCCCCCCATCCCCAAGGGGTAGCAGAACAGCTACTGAGCACAGGCACACCACACGAGGATCAGCAAACAGACCAGATGACCTCCTTTTGAAATGTAGAGAATTCTGCATAGATGAAACCTGGGAAATGAGCCAGAGAGCAAGAATAAATCCTTACAGTTTTGCAAAAAGGTACAAGGGCTCTATTGGATCTTCAGTAATCACAAGTAATAAGATTTGGAGGAGCAAAGAGAGAGAGAAACCCCCTACGTTGCTAAAAATACAAGCCTGATTTGATTCTATTCTGAGTTTCAGAATGCAAGCTGATCCAAAAAAATACATACAGGATTGTTTTCTCTTCGCTTTTTCAACTGGTTCTCACATTTTAATCAGCAACTGCTACTTCTTTCCTCATTTTAAGATTTTACATAAGTTACTGCAAGAATGAGAGCCTTTGTTGCAGAACCTTCTCCTTCCCTCCTGAAGGATGCTCGTCCATAAACAAATGACCACCTCCTTATCTCCTGCATTGACTGACCTCCCACATGAGTTTGGTGACCCCTGAGATCTGTTTTATGGTCATTGCTCTTTTGCCCAGGGAGTCCTGCTTGGTGTTATTTGAATCACCAACAGATTAACTTTCAGGTCAAGAACAATTCTTCAAACTCCTCTAATCCCCACTTCAGTTCAGAATAATAAAATAAACAACGATTTAGAAACAATACTGGAAACTGCTAGCATACCATGCAACAGTTTCCAGCAGTGAATTTTGTGAATTCCAGTAGTGAATTTAGTGAATTTTTGAATAACAGTGAATTTTGAAAAGAAGGATTTCTAAAGCAAACTGCCCCCAGTGAGCAGCAAACTGGCTACCAGTATCCCCCATCTAACAGTGTCATGTTCCTATGGGAAAACTAAAACTTAGCAGACTCCACAATGCTCAGATTTTTTCCCTCAGTTTGTCTTCTGGATGATCATAATTTCTGATTATAGAAATATCCGTTAGTGATTTGCTTCAATGCTACATAATGTATTCTCCTTTTGCTTAAAACTACAGTAGAGTTTCAGATAAAAATGTATTTTTTCTTTCTTTAATCATTTTTATATAATGAAAAGTTTTCAAGTTGATCTTCTACAGAATTCCCTGGGATAAAAATCTAAACCTGTTCACCACCAACTCTGATCAGGTACTGGTGTTCACCCTTCCCTTTATGATACACTCCTCTTGTTGGTTTTGTTTGTACTTGGGCTCACCTCTTCAAAATCTTCAAAAAAAAATCTTCAAAGATTTATTCCCGTGCAATGGCAGAATAAACAAATTTTGTCAATACAGTGTCAGGATATTTTCATGAATCAAAATGAGACTGGGGTGGTATGCACAGTAGCTAAGTTCAGTATTTGATATAGGTATGGAGAGCAATGGCTTCTAAGGTAAAAACCCTTGCTGGCCCTACACAGAGCTGGTTTCACCGAGATCCTGAACTGCAGGTGGAGATCCCGGGCTCCACTGTTAATCAGTTGGGACTGCAAATAATAAGTAACAGGAACTATGTGTGCACCAACGAGAAAGATCAGGAAATCATGCCTGCTCATATCTCTCCCAAACGGCCTGCTGCCTCGCCTGGCTGCAGCTCCTTAACCATGAAGGAACCGCAGCAAGTGACATGAGGGAAGGGCTCGGGAATCTTAAAAACGTGGGTAATGAGGCTTTAAATGCTTCCACAAACAGAAACGCACCCGGCTGAAAGAGCAAGGGCTTAAGTTTCAAGATATAAAACCATCGCTTGCTTGATGTGAGGAAAAGCTCCAGCAGCCTTCCTGGAGGTGATGATTTACAGAAAACGGGACGGGATCCAGGAAAGGGGACGGGGGGAGCGTCCCGATGGCAAACTAGCTTAACCAGTTTCTGCCGAGCAGGGTTCGGAGAAAACACGGCGATGAAATGTGCTCGGCTACTCCCAAAACACCGAGAGAGCCATACTATGAAAGACCACAAAACATAAAGCGCGTGTGCATTGTCAGTGAGGAGTCAGGCTCGTGAGGAGAAGTCAGGCTCCAGTGAGCAGGGCCGCGGGCACCTCAGGCTGAGGTGGGGTTTAATGGGTGGCTTAACCCCATCTAACTGCGGGCTGCTGACAAAACCCGTGAGCTTTAGTGCTGAGCAGCCAGGGCGAGGCCGATCGATGAATCTCATGAGCAGCTGAGGGCCATATGAGGAAGGGAAAGAAGGAGACTGCCCCTTTCCTTTCCATGCAGCAGCCCCAAGTAGGTTGGAGGAGGTTTGAAGCCGTGGGTCTGTCAGGTTGCTGAGCAGCTTTGTGCCTCAGAAAATTCCTTAATCAAAGCACTTCATGACATTCAGAGAGCTGAGGTGTTCACAGAAGTGTCGTGTTCAGTATGAAATCCCTGTATGCTAAACACTTCCCAGGAATACTCAAAGAAATACGAGGCAGAGATAGCATCGTCCTTCGTTTCCAAAGCAATTGCAGTCTAATGATAAATTTAATACTAAGCTAACATGTCAATGTATATTATCGTGCCTTGAAACTGGAAAAATGTGTAATAACTCTCCTCACAGCACTTCTGTGGGACTTTTTATGAGAATAAAGCATGAAGAGTTGAGCTGACTTGCCCTACAACCATAGGAATCAATGACAGGTGGGACTACACCTGAGTTGCTGGATTACAAACCAGTACTTTGTACCCCTCCTTAAAACACAAAATATATAATAAATGTATAATGCACACATCAATATTGCAGCCCAAATGCAACCAGTGGTATTACGAGGGGAGGCCCACAGTCCTATCAGTATTTCAGTTATGGGCACGACCTACAAGGACTTCAGATACTGACAGAGGAAAGCCTAATTTGGACAATTTCATCAGTGTCCAAGTCTGTAGGGCATTTTTGTTTTAAGATTTTTTTTTAAGCAAAAGCAAGGTGTTTTGCTTTTATTTCTTCTTTCATTTCATACTAAGTGGATGAGCTTGTTGAATGTGAAAATTAATTCATATAAAGACGTATTTCAAGCAGGAATGTTTTTGTTTTTGAAAAATACATTGTTTTATACTTAAACTTATTTTTAAACAAAAGCACAAATGATCAAATACTGATCATAAACATCTGTTTTATGAGAACAAAAATCATAGATGAATGCAGTTTGAGTCTCAACAAGCCATTATTCCTTGCAGAAGCTCTAAGAACTCGATGCTGTGGAGAAGAATCTAAAAATGTGGGGAGAAGGTAGTGCTTCTTTTTCCTTTTGGCCCGGGTAAAACTTTTTCCATTCCTGAGAGCTAAAAGCTCTTGGAAATAAATGCAGTTTGCACATTCTCTGCAGCTTAATTTCCTGCGGATTACACAGTGGACGTGCTCTAACCGAGGCCGAGAATAGCTTTCCCTGTAGTCACAGCTCTTGCTGCTTGGACCAAAGCTGGGTCCCCTCCAAGCCTGCCAGCAGGGAATTTTTCTCTTTGTCCCTCTTGTTCAGAGACAACGTCTCCCCTCCTGATGCCGAACAGGAAAAGATGGCAAAGGGGACACAGAGCAGCTGCATGGAAGAGTTCCTTGGGAGGAGAAGCCTGAAAAGAGGCTACGATGGGAAAGGCAGGCTGATGTTACAACA